GATTTCAAATTTAACAATTTAATATAATAATGAAAAACTCATCAGATAATTTCGTGATAAATTTTTTGTCCTTTATAATTTATGTTCAGTATAAATTAATAGTTTCCTTTCTATTATTATTAGATAATTTAAAATGCTATCTTGTGTTATAGATAACTCCAATGTATCAAAATACATTTTCGTTCGTAAATGATTTTCCTGCTTTACTGGAATCAGTACCTGACCCACCCAAAATGGAGGACGAATTATTTCAAATGGGATCTGCCAAAGGTACCTGTAAAGTGATGTGCTTTCATCCAAAATCGAATGTAACAATAGCTTTGATGAAGATTCACGAGATCAAGGAAGTGGTCAAACGGTGTGAGTAACATTCAGTAGGTATGCACTGGAATATTCATCACTTTTGAGAAATAAACATTGTAGAATGTAACAGGTGGATCATTGAGATGCTCGAGTTGGGTGAGAAATGGACTTGGGTTCAGGTGTTTGAAAATAGAGGCGCTCTGATGGGTTGCAGCAATGCACATCCTCATTGTCAGATATGGGCCAGTTCCTTTTTACCAAACGAAGCTAGAATAAAAGACAAATATCTCAGCGATTATTATGAGCGTAACAAGAAACCTCTTCTCATCGATTACATGCAGAAGGAGGTCCTAAAGAAGGTGTTAGAGTTATTATAAATAATGTACATATTTCATAATGGCATAAAAGATCTAACATTAACAATTTATGCATTCAGCATTATTTTATGTACTTTTTATTATATTACCTGAATTATTATTATTTGCAGGATCGCATTGTAATCGAGAATCGTGATTGGATAGTCGTAGTACCGTTTTGGGCAGTTTGGCCATATGAAACTATGGTATTACCAAAGAAGCAAGTTACTAGAATGCAAGACTTGTCAGACAGTCAACAAGAATCTCTATCTGTCATCATGAAGAGATTATGTACTAAATATGATAATCTCTTCCAATGCTCTTTTCCATACTCGATGGGATGGCATGGTAAATAAAAAATAATTATTACATATTATTTTCATTATTTATATGTTACTGATTTATCGATTTGCAATTAAAGGCGCTCCAACAGGTCCATATCTCAATCACGATTATCCATATTGGACCTTTCATGGGATATATCTACCACCTCTGTTACGATCTGCTACAATAAAGAAACACATGGTCGGCTATGAACTTTTAGCTCAAGCACAAAGGGATTTAACGCCGGAACAAGCAGCAGAAAAATTAAGGAGCCTACCAGAGTCTCATTATAAACGTCCAGAAACTAGTCTAACTCTTGCAGAAATAGAAACATACTCGAATTAAATATATATATATATATATACATAAGATGTAATTTCTGATAACATATAAGTAAAAAACTGGGTACAAATATAATATAAATAACTGCATTATCTCGATCAAGATATATTATTGAATAAAAAATATATCTTTCATACAAACATTATGTACTTTCGTCGTTTTTTTTACAGATTTAATACTTAGGAAGCTTTGGATCAATTTTATTGCTCCAAGCATGAATACCTCCAATTATGTCCCTTATTCGTAAAGTATCATCTGTAAATAACTTTTTCAGGTATTGCACGGCCTTTTGTGAATCATTACCACGTCTACACAGAATATACACTGAAAGAGTAAATAAAGTTAATTCTCAATCATAATAAAGATAATTTAACTCTCAAAAGAAAAAAAAATTACAATATTATAAATATTAATAAAACTTACTATCTACTGGACAATGTTCTTCTTGAGCTTTTTCTACATTATTCCTTATTAGATTTAAATTATGATCCTTGCTAAGTTGTGTAAAAGGAATGTTAATGGAATCTTGTAAACTACAAATTTCATATTCTTCAGGTGAACGTACATCGATCAGTATATGAGATTTTGAATCGACTTTTGCGATGTCGTTATATTCTTCAGCCGATATTCTCTCTTCTTTTCTCAATAAATTTAAATTAGGATCCTTGTCATTTGCTTTTGCACCACAAAATTCCTCATAGTCTATTAATTCATGTATAACGGGATGTTGTCCGCAAATTACGCAATCCGTATTCTTTGGACGCAAGCGTACATTACGGAATTTTGTTTCCGTACCATCAAATAACAAAAGTCGCCCAGAAATCATATCGGGCATGTTAAGTATTATTTTTAATGTTTCTAGCGCTTGCAATACACCAATTGCTCCCACAGCTATTATCCAATAATAAAAAATACAGAAAGAAAAAGAAAAGATGAAATCAAAATCTAGTTTGTATAAAAATGTATAAAAAATTGCTATTACAAGAGCTTCACCTGCACCAAGGACACCTCCATCTCCACAGTTTGTTACAGTTTCCGGTGATGGTGGTTCAGGAAATACGCATCTATAGCAAGGGCCATTGTTGTAATTAAATACTGACAAATGACCTTCAAACCTCAGCGCTGATCCGGAAACTAATGGTTTCCCACTCAATACACACGCGTCATTCAATAAATAACGAGTTGCTACATTATCTGTACCATCTATCACAATGTCATAATTCTCTACGACATTCAAAGCATTTTTACTAGTCAGCTGGATACAATATGGAGTGACTTTTACATAACTATTTAACCTGAGAAAATAAAGAAAATAAAATATAAATAGAGATAAATCTCTTTCCAATTAATACACAATTTTAACTCTTAATATCATCATACCGATTAATGCTTTCTGTTGCTGCAACTACTTTAGCAGTACCAACATCTGTTTCCGTGTACAATAATTGTCTGTGAAGATTATTTATCTCAACATTATCATAATCAACTATGCCAATGTGACCAACGCCGGCACATTGAATAAAAAATATATCTTTCATACAAACATTATGTACTTTCGTCGTTTTTTTTACAGATTTAATACTTAGGAAGCTTTGGATCAATTTTATTGCTCCAAGCATGAATACCTCCAATTATGTCCCTTATTCGTAAAGTATCATCTGTAAATAACTTTTTCAGGTATTGCACGGCCTTTTGTGAATCATTACCACGTCTACACAGAATATACACTGAAAGAGTAAATAAAGTTAATTCTCAATCATAATAAAGATAATTTAACTCTCAAAAGAAAAAAAAATTACAATATTATAAATATTAATAAAACTTACTATCTACTGGACAATGTTCTTCTTGAGCTTTTTCTACATTATTCCTTATTAGATTTAAATTATGATCCTTGCTAAGTTGTGTAAAAGGAATGTTAATGGAATCTTGTAAACTACAAATTTCATATTCTTCAGGTGAACGTACATCGATCAGTATATGAGATTTTGAATCGACTTTTGCGATGTCGTTATATTCTTCAGCCGATATTCTCTCTTCTTTTCTCAATAAATTTAAATTAGGATCCTTGTCATTTGCTTTTGCACCACAAAATTCCTCATAGTCTATTAATTCATGTATAACGGGATGTTGTCCGCAAATTACGCAATCCGTATTCTTTGGACGCAAGCGTACATTACGGAATTTTGTTTCCGTACCATCAAATAACAAAAGTCGCCCAGAAATCATATCGGGCATGTTAAGTATTATTTTTAATGTTTCTAGCGCTTGCAATACACCAATTGCTCCCACAGCTATTATCCAATAATAAAAAATACAGAAAGAAAAAGAAAAGATGAAATCAAAATCTAGTTTGTATAAAAATGTATAAAAAATTGCTATTACAAGAGCTTCACCTGCACCAAGGACACCTCCATCTCCACAGTTTGTTACAGTTTCCGGTGATGGTGGTTCAGGAAATACGCATCTATAGCAAGGGCCATTGTTGTAATTAAATACTGACAAATGACCTTCAAACCTCAGCGCTGATCCGGAAACTAATGGTTTCCCACTCAATACACACGCGTCATTCAATAAATAACGAGTTGCTACATTATCTGTACCATCTATCACAATGTCATAATTCTCTACGACATTCAAAGCATTTTTACTAGTCAGCTGGATACAATATGGAGTGACTTTTACATAACTATTTAACCTGAGAAAATAAAGAAAATAAAATATAAATAGAGATAAATCTCTTTCCAATTAATACACAATTTTAACTCTTAATATCATCATACCGATTAATGCTTTCTGTTGCTGCAACTACTTTAGCAGTACCAACATCTGTTTCCGTGTACAATAATTGTCTGTGAAGATTATTTATCTCAACATTATCATAATCAACTATGCCAATGTGACCAACGCCGGCACAAGCTAAATACAATGCAGCTGGACAACCGAGACCGCCAGCTCCTACAATAAGTACAGAGCTATCTTTTATCTTCTTTTGACCTGAAAATCATAATAAGAGATTATATATGTCACTTTTTTTATATTAAATAATCCTTATATATATTTATATATATATGAATTACAAGATTTGGTATTACAATGTATTATAATGTACAAAAGTACTTGGATTATGAAACTTTTCTTTATGCATGCTACATGGAAAATCTTACAGCGTACCTTGCACGCCAATCTCTGTCAAGAATAACTGTCGACTGTATCTGCGAATTTCATCATTGTCCAAGCCATATTCCTGCGTGACTTGTTTCTCGCGTCGCAAACGTGCCAGTTTAACCTCTTTCGCATGCAACAACGCTCGCAAATCTGCGATTTCTGCTACCAGTTCATCTTCAGACGTATCTGACATTTTGTCCATACAAACGACACCCAAATCAAACACCTTTAATTTTCAAGCAAATTTTCTTGGATTAATTCCAATATAAAAATTAAAAAAAAATGGTTATCATCAAACATAACAATTTTGGGAAAGTTTGGAATACTAGCTCCGCGCACACATACGCACGTTCGTAATAAAGCAATTACGTCACGCGTCTGCGCCGGACTGACGGCAATCGCTTTGCCACGCGATGCGCATGGATGCAGAAGGCAGGGGTTCCTGAGCACGCGGCGAGTGCCGTCGAGTGCTAGACGTGCGTGCGGTGTCGTACACGCACGGGAGGAGGTGGTGCACGCGTAGCTGCTGCTGTAAACGACGTGCACACACGTGCACACGACAGTCCCGTGGTAGAATTATGGTGGAAACCGCTGCGAGGAGTAGCGTATTCGGTGCACCGCTCGTGACAGCCACGCTGACGTTGACGCTGTTGTCGCTCGTCGATCAAGTAAGAACAGAGCACAAGAGCGCATCCGATCCGATCGCGTCCGCGTTGCCTCCTGTCATCTAGGATAACAATGTAATCTCGCGCGAAGGGAAAAAGAGAAGGTGACACATGCGTTTCGCACCCTCGTCCGTACAGCCCCTATTCGCGTTCGGCTCCTCGCGCTGTCGATCAATACAAGTCCGTATGTCGCTGTGCTTGCCATTCATGCGTAAGTCTTTTCCATGCTCCTTTTATCCCATTAACGGCCAACGCATTTCACACTTCTTCTGCGAAACAAGATTTCATATTCAAACAGAATTGATCTTAGTTGATAAATGTTGCAATGAAATTTTATTAATAAATTAATCATCTTTCAAACTCCTCTGTATCTAATTTTCACGAATATACGGGAGCAATTTTTTTTTCCCGAAAATTGGTAAATCGAAGGAGTTTGCGAAGATAAATTCTTTATTCTACGTTTTTTTTTTTCATTATCTTACTTTAATTAATTTTACGTAACAGCCAATAATCATCCAAAGATAGAATGCAATCTTTTTAAGTCAAAATCAATAGAGATTATTGAATGATTCTAGAAATCAATTGTAATTTATATATATATATGTATAATTAAAATGCTTCATATTGCATAACTCTGACCTTTAATGGGTTAACTATCCATTAAATATGGATAGTTGTCGCGGACAGTCGTCCATCGTTTCGCGATCCTCGTCGATTCATGGAGGATATCACTGTCGCACTCGCCGTTTTTGTTTAAACAGCATTTTACCATCGTATTCTTATAATTATCTGAAATGAAAAATGCAGTTTATCATTAATAGAGATATTTTTATTCAATTTTTTTTATAATTTTTAATAAAAAGATTAACAATCTTCCCCTTTCCCCAGTTCAATTATCAATTAATATAGTTATTATAAATAATTACGTTTGCTGTCTATTATAAAAAAAAATATTATAATACGAGAAATATATAATTGTACAACTATATTTTATTTTTTGTTTACCTTTTAAGGTGTCTTCTAGGCTGTGCAATGGAGGGCACGTGTAAGTTCTTTATTTTACAACTAAATTACTAAATAGTAAAAATAATAAACTCCATGTAACGAGATGAGATATGCAAAACGAAACGTAGATAGAAAAATGCGAATTTGTTATTTTTCAGCTGCTCTCCTCCGAAAGAGTGCTGTACTCATGGCTGTTGTTATAGTGTCTTTACACCGGTACATCCTCACGTTTCAGAGATGTTCAATTTCTTGATTTGGACTTATTGGTACCTGTGGTTGGTATATCCATTAATTTCTCGTCAAACGTCGACGTAAAGTGAAAAAGAAATCATTTTTTGTCCCTTTTATTTATCGCTCATTTTTAAAATTAATCGATCACCTTTGCAGCATCGTTTTTTAACATAATTCCATTTTATGCATAACGATTCTACGTGTCACGTTTGTTATTATATAAATGGAATATAATAATGAGTATTGTATTTTGTTTACAGGGCAGCAGTGCTCGCAGTCTTGGCCATAGCCGCAATATGCGGCTTCTGGCTATGGAAACGTCGTCGTGCGGCTCTGTCGGAAGATTCCGTCTCCTCGGAAAGAACCTCCTCAGGACCGTGGTATCCACCTCCTCATTACAGCCGATGTAGTTCTTTCGTCCAGGCGTTACCACCGCCGTACAACGAGGTAACTGCAAAAAATTTCAATTTAGAATACGTACATCTTTTGTCTTTCACTCGCTTTCTCTCTATAAATTGCACGAAACAAAATTTTCTTTCTATATATTTGGAAATAAATATGTGTATTTTTATGCTATGTTGTTTTGTTAAATAGACTAGTATATTAAATAATAATATAAATTATAAGTCTACTTTCATTGTACTTTAATTTTATGTCTAGGTGACTGCGAAACCAGACCTTTATCCATTGGTGATCGGTTACGACGACACCTCGGGCAAAGGAACTTCCGGTTTTGTGATGCGCTATTTCAGATCACTGTCTCATGCGAGCACGTTGGATTCGTTGAGCTCCAGTTTTATGTGTAACGTGGTGAACGAAGCGAACACTATTATTCCACCGCCGTACTCCTGCAACAACAGCGTTGACGAATTATCAGCGGCGGAGTGCGAGAGAAGAGAGACCGGAGACGTTGGCTCGGTCGTCTCGCTGACAAATCACAGAACAACCTCTGACATATCAAGCCTAGCTGCTCAATCGCCTTGTTCTCCGCCGAGGGCTACCAGCCCGACAATAGAGGTACACGCTTCTACACTGCAACAAATTAATTTAAAAATTAATTTAGAGACTACCAAATATATACATGAAAGTATTACAAATTCTCTTACGAAAATATTTTTGATAATAATATTGGATGGACGTCTTATAATAAAAAAATATGTATAAAATATGTTTCTTATATTCTTGCACAAAAGGCATTCTAATGTTAATTGTCATTTTTTTTTTTTTTATAAAAGAAATACTTCAGAGATTCATAAAACACGATTAAATTTAAATGAAGTTTTCTTATGCAATGGAAACATCTTTATACATTCTCACAACACGTCCTTTGTATTACCGTTTTCCAGTTGCGGGAATTGTTGGACAAGATACAGCAACTTCCTCATTTGTCTAACGGACATGCTACCGCCGTGCATTGCCAGCAAAATTGCCAGACCCCGATCTTATACGTAACCAACAGCGATGGTACTACGCAACAACGGCCTCTAAGTCCTAGCGATGTCGGCTCGTATAAAGTAAGGAGAACCCGTGGCAAGTTGTACATGCCGTTGGGATTGCCGAGTTCGCGGAGCAAAACCAAGCGATGGTTGTCGCGCTCCGCGCCAACGACGCCCTCGGGAACGATACCAATGTCATTCTTGCCGGGGCAGAGCAGAAGGCCTTCGGAGACCGACAACAACCAGCAGGCGGTGCCGCTGCTTTATGAACAAGACGAGAACGAGAATAACGCGGATCCGTCTTCGTCGGGCGTTTCTCTACTTGCTGAACAAGAGGAGAATCAACAGGCAACATGACACGTGGTCTAAATTATTCGTGCCACTAACGATCGACATTGCCAGGATCTAATGCAAGGATTGTCGATATCCACACATACACAGACACACATACACACATGATCTAAATATTTTTTAATATGGCTCCTGTATTAAAACTCGTCATGTATACTTTATCATAGAGTTACGCACATTCCAGATGTATACGTAGATACTCGCGCATGAAGATTGTTCTTTAAAAAACTTGAATTATATTTCTATTTTATTAATTTAATATCGTATAATCGAGGTTATTTATTTTTTAATTTTGTGCGCTTAATTTTGTATGCATAATATATATTTTGAAGTCAAATACTATTCAGGCATAGTTGTAAGTCATGATGCACACAAATATGTGAACATAATATATACATTTTGAATATATCGAATGTAATTTATGCGATAAAGCGTACATGACGCATACTAATGAAATACGATAAGATATAATATAGATCTCCTCTATTCTAGATTATTCTCTATTCTCTCTATTTTGAAACAACTATCTTCTTTAAACTAGTTTCTAATTCTCTTTTTGTGCTGTATTACACGTTTGTCGCACGATCATGTAATCATACATAGAGTGAGAAAGCGAAAGACAAAGTGCACAATGATGTTTTCATTCTGTGTGTTATTAGAAAAGAATGGATATTGAAAAAAATCCAGAATAGAGAAATAGTTCGGTATTTCTAAAATAGATGAGATCTACAGTATTGTCACTAATGTGCCGCCTACTTTTTCAAACCAAAATCTTCAAAAAAATTTGCAGGTATTTTAGAGCCGTTTTTGGCGAAATGAGTTAAGGCCTTATCCGCAAGCGCAGTTTTAGAAGTCGATATTCTGGAATTAAGATCATTTATAATCTTAGACATAAAAATAGAATACTGCGACAAACGAAAATGCTATTTGCTCTTCTGAAGGATATAAAAGAGACGAATCTTTAAGACTCCTTTTAACTTTGAAGTCTCCAGCTTCATTTTCTTTCAATAGACATCTCCAATTCGCGATGATATTACGAGCGATATCACATTTTCTACGCGAAACAATGACATTGTTACGTATCCAATTATATCAGGACGGAAGAATGGAAGACTTATCGTTTTTCCGCGATTGTATTAGTTCATGACGCGTAAATTAGCGAAACAATACAAGCCGATTTGTGTCGGAACAGTACAATGGCAGCCAAAAAAGAACGTCTCGCGCTCTACTTACGAAACTATACAAGTTAAACGAATAATAATTTTAATCTTTATCTCTTAAGATATCAAATGAACGCATTCGATACATCGAAATTTATTCATGAATGGAATAGATTACGAAAGTTTCGACAACCGTCTGGTTAATATAAGAACACGAAATTTTTATTATCGTATACTTATAAGTTTTATCGATATAATAATACGTAAAAAATTATCCATCCAAATAAACCGGATCAGAAGAGAAAAAGTTCGGACAATATCGCGTAATAGCGTAGAAATATTGTAAGCGACGCGACGGTTGAACATATGGGACACACGAGCCAATGTACAATGCAGATTCCGTCAACAAATAACAAGCTCCGTTACAGAGACTACAGAGGCTAGACTAGTAGACAAACACATAAATTTATAGCATATATATATATATATATGCTACAAATTTATGTACTTATTAATTTTAATTTAATTTATAAGCATATATATATATAAAGTATATATAAAGAGATTTATATTTAATTTTGAAGATTCATACGAGAAATAATATCGGAATAACAAAATATCACACGCAAACCCTAGTAACAGTAAAAAAGATACTGGACTGAAGTATAGTTTACGCGACATTTACAATTAATTGAATTTAGATTTCACATCATATAGAGCGATCTACGTATTATGTTATTGCGCACAATTACTATTTCCGGATATTCTGAATTCTTAACATCTTATGATTTGTTTCTCGCGACCTGATATCTGTACGTTGAATGTTATTTACATATTCGCGTGTGTGAATATAAATATATTCAATATACGTACAATATATAAATAAATCTTTCCAAGATTTTAATTAGTCGGAAAATTTGAGCTCTATTTATAGTTTCGTAAATATGGCGATTTGTCGCTCAATTATAATTGTTTATTTTATATTGTTTGTTCATGTATTAATTTTGCAACGCGAATTAAATAGCGATATCACTTTCTTTTTGTCTCTGCTTGGCTTTTGTTAAGATATTATTATACGCCTTGTTTTATTCTAAGAGAGAAACATGATAACATCCGATATGTGCGCTCTGTAAACTATACTTATTCCCTAAGAAAGATTCCGTACACATGCAAGACACTAATAATCGTATATAGAAGTTGTTGAAAAATATTCTTAATATAATATAATAATAGATTTTAATTCTAAGATATGTAAAAGCAGTCATATATATATATACTTCAATCGTATTACATACATTGTTCACGTACACATCATGCCATTGACATGTATTTTTTTATAAAGCCAGATAAATAAAATCAAGCTTTTACTTGATGTGTTCTTTTTTCTATTCATTTTCGAATTTATATAGAATGGCAACAAAGATGTCAATAAGACGTCTTTCATAAAAAAGTCTAAAAAACCTTTTATTTTTATTTTCATTTGTTTGTCATTATTTTTAATGCTTTGTAAAAATAAAAATGTCTCATTTACATTGACTCTTATTCCTTTCACTCTTTCAAAGAAATTTATTCATAATTGA